ATTGTTGAGGCAGCTTGGCCCGCGTCACATTTATGAAAAACATCCAATGAAATTGTTGAAAAAATTCTTCGAAATATATCTGTCCAATTATAAGCCTAGAATGCGATAACGAAATGACATTTAATTAAAATTGTACACTTTTTTCGACTGTTGCATTTCAATAATTGAAATTCATGTTATTAGCGTTATCGGTTGGTGCCAGTCATGACACCGTGACTTGGAGATTGGCTAAGGGTGGTTGAAACAAACTAGATGATGCAGATTGCAATATTTTTCTAGCCTCGAGGTTATTGCATAATTAAACTTCAGTATATAATCTCCATACAATTGCGCCGTCAATCTTTGATTGACTTCAAATCTTCATATTCATTTTGCAGCTGATCAAATCAACTGTCCCGGTCAGTCGAAAATAAAGTAGTGCAGGTACTTGAACCTTTTTGTCGATCAGATATAACTAACCTTTATATTGTTTGAAGTTATTTGACAACCGTTGTTCTATGCTTTGCATTTCGACTATCAAATTTTCAAATTGTTTGTTTGTAATGGAATTCGTTAAGAAAAATATCAAGTCAGATAAAATATGAATTCCAAAGAACAAGGATCTTTAAAATAAAACTCATCATGTAGCTTATCAAACCATTCAAAATTGATGGGAGCTTATCACCATTTACAGCATTTGCATGCAAAGCTTGATTTCGATCGAGAGATTTAGCAGACCAAATTACCTTTCGTGCACTGAAGCATACAAAATGAATTTAATTGTGAAAACATCAAATCGTTTTTTTAAAATTAATTTGACAATCTCTTTAATGCGTTAAAAAAGCGCAACTGATGACCATTGTGCCAACCAAAGACAACAAAAAAACTAAAGGAATCATTTTTCTGCCCTGAATTATCCCACATAACTAACTTTAGCCATCAAGACTGGTTTATGCAACCTTCTTGAATTAGTTCACTTTAATGTTACTGCCTCTATCAATAGAGCCGCCAAATCAGAGTAGAACAGCATAAAACCCAAGAACAGTTGCCAAGTGATTTAGAAATGCTGAACAATAATAGTTTGTTTACATTAAAATCAATCTAATGAACGCTTTGAAGCATCTTAACTTAAAAGCACAGAACCCAAACAGTTCTTGGATCTTCTGGTTACCTTTTTATTTTTCTACAGATGCGCTATAGAAGGGTTGCATTGATATTAACACCCCTGTTATTTACAGGGCTAAAAACAATGTTATTTAAAATCAACCTAATGAAAGCTTTGAAGCATCTTAACTTAAAAGCACAAGACCCAAACAGTTCTTGGATCTTCTGGTTACCTTTTCAATTTTCTACAGATGTTACTGCCTCTATCAATAATAGAGCCGCGTTATTTAACAATATTTAACCAGACTTGTTATTTACTACTGTTATTTATTAAAACTACAAACTGACTCATTTCAGAAAGTTGGATCTGGTTGCCGCTCTTTTGATTCTACCTACGAACATTTTGAAAGATCTGGAAACAAGTCAAGATCCAACATCTGCGGGCACGAAGCAGCAGCAAACCCAGATCGAATCCGGAAGCATCATGCAAAGAATTATACTGTTTCTGTAACAACAGACGAAAAAAGGAAAATTGACACGGCGATTTGACTTTTTTCTTCGCGATAACATCCAATTCTCTGCAGTAGATTCCCCGCAGTTCAAGTATCTCTGTTTGATGATGAGGCCAGTTTATCAACCGCCAAAAAAACCGGGGGCAGATATTCTAGACGCAGTGTACACAGAGATGGAGGGGAAATGACTCTTTGATCAATGGGTGGGTGAATACCTGTAATAACCCAATTGTTGCGGCATCCATCCAGCATAAAAACAAAGTTTATATTGTTCGGACAACTGATACATCAGGCAGCAGTAGCGTGAGCAAATATCTGGCCGAGGTGAATTTGCACATCAAAAAAAGCTGAAGTTAAGTATGGAGTCATTCTTATTACACCTGTGACAGCAGACACAGAAAATATGAAAAATGAGACTGTAAGTTGCTACCGAAAAAAATGGCTGTGCAGCTCATCAAATGAACTTTTTGGCAAAGGATTTGGTGCCCACGTCAGTTGTTGCCAAGGTAACAGAAGTGGCCAAAATATTCTGGAATTGTCGGTTACCAAAAGCGTTGCGCGAAAACGAAGGAACACTGAGACCTCTAATGTACGATGAAAAGCGTTGTCCATTTGGTGGAATGATACCAAAATTCATAGACGAAACTTAAGTTAGTTGTTGAGAAAAACGCTGTATACTTCTCTGAGTCACAGGGCAAACCGGTTGGACAACACAAAGAGTCTGACTTTATTCCAAGATGACAAAGATGGAGTCTAGTGTCTAAAGCCTGTTTTTGTTGCTTTGTATTTTTTGCAGTCCGATCAAGTTACTGCTGGCCAAGCTGTGGAAAGATCTCCATGGTCTTACAGAGAACATGGCAGTGAGTATCGTGAATGGTTGGAGGCTGCAAAAACCCATATATCAAGTCTGTTCCCGTAATTTGGCTCCTCGCAAACGCTCTGCACCCAGCTTATATCGTGGCAAAATTGACCTCTGAAGAATGGAAGGACGTGAAAGATAACGTACTGCAGTCTATTCTGACGTGTACCCTGAGTTTATAGACGTAGAGTCAGACGGAAGTTCTGTTCTGAACAAGAACTTTGAAGAGGTTATCAGGTGCAAAGTGCAGAGTTATCAGAAGGATTGGCTGATTTCAGTCTGAGAATGCTAAAATTTACCCTGAGCACAGCAGGGTTAAAGAAAGCGTTTTCTACTATGGGATTCTTCCACTCGGGCCTGAGAAACCGCCTGACTCGGAAAAAGTTTGGAAACTGCTTTTTCGTCTTCGTGTACTAAAATCTAATTGACTATAATTCTTTGTTTGGTACACTGTTCAAAGTTTTCACATTTTTACCGTTATTAACAGTTCATAACGTTTATAACGTTAAAAACTTCCATTCATAGAAAGTAGTTCTATTTATGCAACCCTGTGGCATAATAATTCTTTGTGAGAGGCTGGGTTAGACACGATACAAACACTTCAAATAGTTCGGATATACTTACCGGATTTGAGTTAGAACAAGGAAACAAAATATAAGGCAGAATGAAACATCGCAACATGCTTTAGCCCAAATATGCATGTTTAAGAAAAGAATGCTAAATGGCTGATTTATCTGAAATAGTTAAAAGTAGCCTTGCAAGAGATGCCTCATTCGCTTAAATATTTAGATAAATTAAAAAAAAACACGGCAACTTTTTTAAGTTTCTAGATAATTTTTTTATTATGATTTTCAGTGATGACTTTTTCTGTAATAAAGTTATGGTTTAAAAAGCTTACTTGATGTGGAAACTAAGCCGACAAAACATAAGCAGACATACGAAAGCCCGAGAATTCAATTTAATTTTTTTGCGCTGGAAGCTCTAAATGAAGTTTCCATAACTAATTTTCTGGAGTAAAACTCAGTTTTTTTCCAATTTTAGGAAAATTTTTCCTTCTCAAGACCTGGTCAATCATTTTACTCGCTTGGAATCAGACTAAAACTGACAGTGCTTAACGATGATATACTACTCGACACATATTGATGATTCATCGTGGTAACTCATTTTGCTTTAAAAAAACTTGAACACACCCGGAGACAAAGTTTCTCCCCGTTTTAAATGGTCGGAACAAACATTATAGACCGATTTCGGCGAACACGCGCTTTTTAAATTTGGAAAATTGTGCATCTTTTTGGTGTTTAAAATGTAGCTGTTGAAACCAATGTAGCTGCTGTAATCTTCAGAGTCATACATTTTTAAAATGAATGTTTTTGGCATCCAACATCCTTAATAGTTTCGGTATGTTAATATTTTTTGATACAGCCAGGAAAAGAATTGACTAGGTGCTCATCGCCTGCTTTCGACACGAAAATGATCTGTTTATGATAAACCAAGCAACTCGCGATACAAAACAAGAAAGCCGCTAGGCCGGACAAAAATCTGAAAATTCGAAAATGTCTAATAAAATAATGATTGCAAATTATCTATCGAAAGCAGGCTAAAACATCAGTTATAATAAGGCTTATTTTGCAACGAAAACATGCCAAGGCAACAGAATTTGAAATTAGCATCGGAAGAAAATTTACAAGCAACAAAGTAGAAAATACCTTAGCAGAAACCCCTTAAGCATAAAAAAAATCAACAAGACTCAAGACATAAAAAGTTAAGAAGTCCTTCTCATCTCAAAACACACACATACACAAAACTTCATTTGCTTGCCAAAGGAAACAAAATGAGGGTACTAAGCAGATATAATATAGAACGAAACCTATTAGGGTGAAAAAAGAAAAAAACAGCCAAAAAAAATCAAAAACATTTAGGAATGATAACAAATTATAAAGTACCCCTCGCCCTCAACAAAATTGAGACGCATTAATAGCCCATTAAGCCAATATAATATAGGCCGAAAGCTATCAAGCCGGAAAAAAAAAGGAAAAAAACTGCTGTCATGAAAACTTTGAACTATGATTTCTATTAAGATTTCAACAATCCAGAAGTAAGCATTAAAATTATGTTTTCATTGCAACGACTCAAAATTAGGTCACTAAGGCGACAAAATGTAAACAAGAATCAATTGGGCAGAAAAAAAGTTTCCAGCGAAATAAAAAGAAAATATACGAATTCAAGGTTTTTAAATTAAACTGCAGAAGTAAATCAAAACACGAAAAGTAAATACAATATAAATTTCGTACAGCAACAAAAAACAACTCTAAGATGTGGCAACTAGGCCGAGAAAACATTGGCAGACAAATAATGAGCCGAAAACTTTTTTTTTGAAATGGAATAGTTCCCGTTTGAAAAAAAAAAACAGGTCCTGTCAGATTCGAACCCAGGAGCTTTGCCGTCCCAGGCGTATCTTTACCACCAGAACAAGTGTGCCGGAGACGCAGAAAATTTCGAATTGGTTATGAACCGAACCTAAATTTACCATTTCTTATTTTGACCCTTTTGTGAACAACGTTATTTACAGGAAAAAAGTCTAGTACTCGATTGCAACACTCTTGCTTATCGCAAGGGTAATATATAATATGTTCACTTTGGAAGCGTTGGAGAAATGCGGTCTCATGATTTAACTAGTATAATCCTGGACTACTTTAGTTTCTTTTGAATTTTTAAGACACTGTACGGTCCTTTTACTTAAATCTGGTGTCTGTCGCAACCATAAGCACTTAGCATTCTATCGTACGCTTTACGTTCAGACTAACGATTCGCACAGTCGCAAATACAGGGCTCAATAGGTTTTCCCAACATTCACACGGTTTCGACGGATGATGAAACGCAGATCAGCTTCTGTGGGCTGTTGGACTGAAGAGAGATGATAGTAATTCTAAATGTACGATCCGCTTTTTGTGCCGTTGCAAATCAATAAGGTCTGAGTAATCAAATCACATGTTTGTCGAAAAACTGGAACTCCCGAATGCATTTACTTTTAATAGTTTTCGCATGATTTTTCTTTATTTCATTGCTCTAGACACTGGAATCTCTGTAGAGTTTGTGTTCATTACTCCTCTTCTACCCCTTCTCATCAATAATTTCCCATTTTTTCTACTTTGTGGGCTCTCGCTTTTCAATCTATCCAGTTTTTCAACTCACATGACAATTCAGTATATCATGCGCCTTAATCAAGTTTCGCTACGCAGCAATTATCTCATAAGTCAGAGCATACAAAACCAAACAACAAGTAATGCGTTTACGAAACACTGCGAGTTGCGAGATCAACAGTTTCAAGCTTTGGCTCTGTCGACTACTTTCGACTAAGATGTGCGTCATCTTCAAAAAGTTATCGAAGAAAACCAGAGCGGCTTAACTGAAGCGAATGCGTTTAGCGCTTAACATGCGTTTGTACTTTCGGTGTTTTCTTTTCAGCGGCTTTCAATAATTTCATTTTCAGCTATTTTGATAATCGATATTTTTGATGTGATTCGAATATAGCCACCTTGCTTTCTTCATAATTTCCAAGTCTAAGAAAGTTTCCACCAATTTTCCAATGTAGTTAAACTACCTCCAAAATATATCATTATCTTGATATTCTGGTTCAAATGATCATAGCTTAATGATTAGCTCACAGCTTGTACGTTCGCTGTTTTGTTTCTGAATTATTTTGTTTTTACTACCCGTTTCGCGAGAGAAAAGTATTAGAAGAACATGAAAGATTAAATACGATACTTGTGGTATTACATCGATGATTACTGTAATATTTTGATGGGCAATTCTGTTGAGAAAATTTGGAGTCTGCATGGGAAAAGTCGCCATGGCTTTTGGCTTAAATAAATCAGTTATTTTCGTCATTCAGTTGTATATTCCTCAGTTGTATCTTTGATTAGATACATTGTCTTCTCTTCTCCCTCTGAAGCCACCGCGTGCAGGTGGTCGAAACCCACCCGAGGGCCTGTATCTGGGCGGTCCCCTTCCTCGACTAACGATGCCTCCTCTAGTGAACCCTCTCGACCCACTGTATCTGTCCATTGGACGTCCTCCACGCATTCTCGCTGAGAGAGAAACGAGTCCTCTGGCTCTTCGCACAGCTGGGTTGTAAGGATACCTTCCTCGGGTGCTCACACCTCTGTAGCTCGAAATACGTCCACCTCGCGGAGGCCCGCCTCGCGAGTACCTATGTGATCCATCGCCTCGCGAGTAGCTACGGGACACCCCGCCGCGACTGTAACGACTATTGCTTCGTCCTCTGTCGAGTTCGCCGCTGCGCCTCGGCGAGTATCTTCTCCGTTCTCGCTCTTCTTCTACAAATGATTCATTGTCTCTCGTGTCTCTAAATCCGACTCCTGTATTCTGATTGTAACTTGCAACTGATGGCGATCGACTCTGTTTGTCGCTACCAGCGCGACTTCTACTCTTTTCCAATGAACCGTCCACGGATGCCACAGAGCGTGTTCTAGTTCGACTTCGACTGACTTCGCGAGAGCTCTGTTGCTTTTCTGCCGGAAATGAGTACTCGATCCCGCTTGCCGTTCTCTCGGTTCGGTAAGCAACTTGAGAAGTCGATGCTGAATTACTTGCAGTTTCTAAGCGTTCACGGGATTCTGGACGTCCTTTCAGTGGCTCTGGAGCTGTAATAATTTTGCTTCTTAAAGCAAATAATTTTGCTTCTGAAATCGAGGTTTCGTATCTTCGTTCTTTCACAATAGGTGACGCATCTCGCCGCATACTCGAATCTCGCTCTCTGCTTCTGGATTTGAAATCTGTCTTTGGTCTGACAGACACAGATCCATACTCGGGTGCGACACTTCTCTTAAAATCTCGGTCATAATCTGGGCGTTCCGATAGTCTTCGTGCAGAAACAAAATCGGGCGATACTTCACGATTAATGTAAGTTGCAGTATCTCCAAGTCCCTTTTCGAGGCCACCACGATAACCCGACCGGTACCCGCCATCTCGCTCCTCTTCACGGTAGACTTTAGGAGCAGGAGCTTTTGATGGTTTAAATTCGTACTCGTACCTTCGTTCTACATATCTAGGTGAGGGACTCTGATGTCTAGGAGACAGTGATGAGTCTCTGGCTTTTCTGTCATCATAACGAGGTCTTTCAGCAGGAGATATCGGTCTTCTGTAATCATCAGGAATCATTTTATTTCTGGACTCCTTGAATCGATCCGATAATGGTGAGGGAATTCCGCTAGGACGATTGTACACTCTATTCGATGATCCATTTGGAGATCTCTTTGGGGATCTAGAAGCAGTGAATCCACTTCGTTCATAGACTGTGTCCCTTGGTTGATATAGTGGTCTTGAATCATCATCACGGGTACGCTTCGGAGGCAGTCGTTCCAATTCTTCGCGTGGAGATGAATATTGAGGCCGCGACAACTTGTAGTCGTATGGTTCTCGGTAACTCTCGTTAGCTCTTTTTCTAGAATACCCTTCTTCTGGATAACTACTCCGTGGCGGGCTTCTTGATATTCGTCGCTCGGAGAAGTCTCCTCGACCTCGCAAGAAATCACCCCTGCCACTTGAATAATCACCACGGCCTCTTGAAAAATCACCCCTTCCTCTTGAAAAATCACTTCTTCCTCTGGAAAAATCCCCCCTTCCTCTTGCAAAGTCACTTCTACCTCTAGAAAAATCTCCCCTGCCCCTTGAAAAATCACCTCTACCTCGAGAATATTCACCTCTGCCTCTAGAGTAGTCGCTTCTTCCCCTGTATGGAAACCTTTCAAGGCGCCCGGGTCTGCTGTAATCATCACGCCTTGTTGGACCTCTAAAGTCACTTGATGAATCTCGAGACGAATGAGCGTTCTGATAACTGTGACTGGAACGTCGCTCAGAACTTATTCTAGTCGATTTATAATCTCGGTCATTATGTTGGCGACTTGATTCAGCATGCGAGTACCTGGGGTTGCTCTCTTTTCGAAACCTTTCATCTCGATATTCCTCTCGAGGAGGATCACCTCTTCTTTCATATCCTCTGCTACTCTCTTGGCGATATGAAGGTCTGATCGAGTTCGCATACCAAATTGCATCTTCGTGATTTCTGTCGTACTTTTTCACACTCAGATCCAAATTCATGGCATCTCGCGGCGGAGTTTCTCTGTTCTCAGAATTAAGGGCCAGTAGATGGTTCACGTAGAATGTCTTATCAAACGTGTGGCCTCTGGATTGCTCAAAATTACTTACCGCTATTGCTGGGTCAACACCTTCGTACAGAATTAAATACTTACAAATGAGAAATCCTGTTCTGTTCACGCCGTGGGTACAGTGCAAGCCTATGAGCAAATCGCTGCTCGCATTTTTCAGAAACTGTTTCACTTGCGCTGCAAATTCAAGAAAAACTTCAGAGCTCGGAATATCATCATGACCTTTGCATTCTAGCTTGTAATGTACAATAGGGTGTCTTGAGTTTTCATTCAATTCGTATCTATCGTAGTATCGGTTGGTATTGCACAGATCAATGACTAGTCCCAGCTTGATATTTTCCGCATCAAGTTGCCTCAGAAATCTTCGCCAGCCGAACTTCTCATTTTCCGGTAAAGGGTCAAGTAATTCATCTTTAAGAGGCACTTTAAATGGTAGAAAACGAAAAATTGTTCGCTGATACGGCTTGTAATCGAGCCAACGGTCAGGTAGATCGTTTCGCATTTTTAACTAAAAGACATTTTCATATAGAAACTCTTAAACTTTTGATTTCTGAGCTTGTCGAATTTGACAAAAGGATTTTACGAGTACTGTATCTTCATTACATTGGTTTTTAAACAAAATTTCCATTCCAATTTATACGCTAAACTAGTGAACTAAAACAAAAACCAGGTTTCCAGCTACCTCAATGTCGTTAAAATGTATTTATTTTGACATTGTTTTCTGGGCAAAAGAGCAATGTGTTTTTGGTTTCTGCGCAATATCGGACTCCGAAAAGTGTCGTTTCAACTTATATTTGTTTGATTTTTGAAACCTGGAGTCATCATATGAAACGGGTGCTGTCGCCTGAGACTCATTTATATTTAGATCTCTTTCATTCCAATCGACTTGTATGAACTGTTCTTGTTTATTGTGCTTTCTATTTCGTTTTCTCGGGCGACGTCTTCGTTTCACCTGCTGCGGTAAATCGCCAGTAACTTGATTAAAATCACTGTGATTTTCGTTCTGTGAGCCAGATTCTTGTGAGTGATCAGGACCAGGCTCTGAGTGATCAGGACCAGGCTCAACTTTAATCGGAACCATTGCATCAAAACTGGTATATCTGGGAGTTCCAACTGGTAGAAATATTCCTTTTAAATCGTTTTCACAGATATCGGATTCTCGATTACCAGGATTAAGTGCTAACAGATGATCAACATAAAATTGCTTATCAAATTTATGACCTCGGCTACTTTCAAACATCTCTATTGCAACCGATGGCTCCCACGCTTGGCATAAAATGAGATATTTACAAATCAAAAACCCGGTTCTGTTGACCCCATGAGTGCAGTGCACACCAATGAGGCCATCGGAGAAGCTTCGGAAGCGTTGCATTGTGAATATGAAGCGCTCGAAGATATCTTCTGACGGGAGCTGGTCATGCCCTTCGCAGTATAATTTTTGGTAGAAAACTTCATTCCCAAGAACTGATAAATCAGATGGCTCATAATATCTATCGGTATTGCAGAGATCAACAACAAGGCCCATAACGAGACTGTTTTGATGCAGGTACAGTGACAGATTTTTCCACCCAAATCTAACGTCATTTGATTCCGTAATGAGACTAAGAAGACTCTGATTCAGAGGGACCTTGAAGGCAATGAAACGATCTATTTTTTCGCATACTGGTTTATACTGCAACCAGCGGTCAGGAAGACGTCTTCCCATTTCGACTAAAAGATAACTTTCTTTCGTGATTTTGTATCTTTGTAAAATCAAAATATCCTGAATTGTCATAGAAAAATGGGCTCATTACAGCGATAAACTCAACATATTCTTAACATTAAAGCGACCCTGCAAAACTCCTCCGAAAAAACGCTCAATTCAGAAAGATCTCGTTGACTAACAAAATAAACATTACTAAACAAATAATTTCTTTCTAGATTTTGTAGTTTTAAAAAACCATATCGTGAAATTTCATGGACAAACAGGCTCATTACAGCAAAAAAACTCAACAAATTCTCACCATTAAATCAAAAAATCTCAAGAAAGACACCCAATACCTTACGATTTTGTTGATTAACAATATCAACAGACGAAAACTATTTCTGGTCCCATATAAACGTCAAACAGAAAAGCTGTCACAGGTCGTTTCTAAATTTGCCAATTAACTGATACTTTTTGTAATTTCGTTTCATAGAAAACTTATGTGAAAAACCTAACGAAGAAATGATCAGTGAGACTCATCGAAAAGACCAGCGACCCAGGAATTTCGGATACCCGACTTCTTCAGGAAAATGAACCGAATGCCTGTGCAGGAACCGAAAACCGGACCTAAGGTGGGTCTTAGATTGGACAAAAACAAGCATAGCAATACAAATTTATTTCAAATGTATATTGTGATTCAAAAATAGATTTCGCGAATGATTTTGCGGTTCTGCAAATAATTTCTGCTGAGTCAGCAGAATGAAAACATCGCATTTTGAGAACCGACTTGGATCCGAAAAGGTACAAAAATCAGGGAATCGTCACTATTTATGAACCGGAACCGTTACCCGACTTTTACAATATCAAGAACCGGAACATAATTGCCAGGAACCGGGTTTCCACGAACCGGAACCAAAATCCATGCAGCGACTACATGTTCCAGTCGGTCATATCCTGAAGTTTTATGTTGATTTTGGGGAGGAATGGTATTTTTGAAAAAAAAAATTGAATTGGCCATGTCATGCTCAAGTTTAACGCAGAAACTGAAATGAAAACATATCGACGGAAAATAAAGCTATGTTCTAAGACGACTGGCCAACGTCTAAACAGAGCTCTACATGCTTTTCACCGTCTCTACCAAAGCGTTCTTTTGGTGGTCTTTCTAACATCGGGTCGACAAAAACGTTACTGTTCTCCGGCTTTGACCAGAAGGCTCAAATTAACTTAATTACATGCAAAATTAGTGAGCTCATGGCTGGGTCTCAGTATCCCCAGACCACGAGGTCACTCCTAAAAACGGGGTTACTACTACTTATTATATTACTATCGTTTTTGTTCATTAGATAAAAATCATCATCTCAATTGAAGATGGATTAACCCTTTCCCTTAACTCCTAGCTTCTCATCGTCGTAAAATGAATTCAGATGTTAAATAAATTCAATTCAAGACATAACCCGGAAGCTAAAAGTTTAAATAAAACAGTTTCAGTTCAAATCCCGAGACCCCTCCGGATTCCTGAATCCGGGGAAATAACAATCTTATCTTCCTTCCAGAAGGCAGTTTTTCTACCCTTCACCGTTGCTGTGAACGGCCTTGCAACGATTGTAGCGCCACAATCGTTGCAACTCGGAACGGTCTCTGCTAACTCTGCTATTAGTTGTTGTTTTTCTATCGCAATTCTCGTAGTTATCACTATCGCAACTATTGTTGTTCTGATTTTCTGGTTTTCTTCCAAAATGGCAGTTTTTGCCGTTTCTCAGAAATGCGACTTCTCTGTTTGAATTTTTGAAATTTTAAAATATCAGAATATGTTGACCTTCACCGTTTGACTAATCGTCCCAATAACGTCACTTATCTCTCAAAATTGTCAATTCGGAAGGTTAGCTGCTAACTATTCAAAATCGCCGATTCTGCATTTTCGTTAATTCTGGTCGAATGTCACATACTCCCCGGACAACCGGGCAATGTCCCCATTGAATCTCGCAATGTTCGTAAAATTGGTACAGTGTCATCGAACAGAATTTACAAAATGCACGAAATTACTCTTATCCACGTCATATCGACTCACTACAGAATATAAATGGCGTCATACTACACTACTTTATCATTAGATAGAAATCATCATCTCAATTGAAGTTCTTTCACTAATCTGCACTTTCGAGGATATGATATGACTTAAGATAAAACATTTTTCAGACTTCCAATGTCAATGCCCCGATTTAAAACTTTTTCTCGTAGGTTTTAAAAGGTGTGTGAAATTCGATCAGAATGGACAAAATGCAATCTCTGCAGTCTAGGAATTTTTAGCAGCGAACCTTCCGAGTTAGTGATTTTGAAGGATTAACGACGTTATTCGGATGATTAGTAGAACGGCGAAGGTCAAGATATTCTGGTATTTTCAAATTTTAAATTTTCGAAGTGATGAGGTAACAATTCTCAGAAACGTCAAAAACGGCCATTTTGGCAGAAAGGCTAAAAAGCAACACAACAACGATAGTTGCAAGGCAGTTGCTAACAACAGTGAGGGGTGGAAACCAGCCTTCCGGATTACAGAGAAATCAAGCTTAACGTGCTTGATTCAGCGGATTCGAGAATCCGGAGGGGTTTCGGGATTGAGACTTTTATCATTTTATATGAACTTTTATCTTCCCTGTCATGTCCTGAATTGAATTTAATTAACATCCGAATTCATTCTACTAAGATGAGAAGCTAGGAGATGGGGGAAAGGGTTGATCCATCTTCATTGGAGATGATGATTTTTATCAACTGAACAAAAACAATAATAATTCAATAAATAGTAGTAGCTCTGTTTTTAGGAGTGACCTCGTGGTCTGGGGATACTGAGACCCAGCCATGAGTTCACTATTTCTGCATGTAATTAAGTTAATTTGAGTGTTTTTACCGAAGCCGAAAGCAGTAACGTTTTTGTCGACCCGATGATAGAAAGACCACCGAAAGTACTGGCTTGGTAGAGACGGTGAAAAGCATGTAAAGCTCTTATTAGACGTTAGCCAGTCGTCTTAGGACTTAGTTTTATATTCCGTCGATATGTATCTTCCGGGCGAATGTTACATAGATGTTTTTATGGCGCTCCTGGGTGTTATTCTTTTTTAACATCATGACCGGCAGAACCGTTAACGAGCACTCCGCGCCGAGCGGATGCTCACATTAACGCCCTTAGTAGGCCTAAACCGCCGGGTTACCGTGAATAGCTTTTTAACCTAGTTAAGACCGAAAATTCACGAACCAATAAGGGTGGGGGGATTCGCGGTCCCGTCGTTCCCTGAGGGTTTCGTGACCAAAAATAACAAAGATATATATAAAACCAAACAAAAAGTAGTATAGTACCCAAGAAAAACAAAAAAAAATAACCGAAAAAACCAAAAACAGTAAAAAAAGTAAAAATCAGTAGAAATCATCCCCCCAGACAAGATGTGATCCGACCCTCCCGTTTGTTATTGATAGATATATTGTTTTTACAGGCATCTATATCAGTCAAGATCGTTACGATCAGTTTTTTAGCCCGTTTGTGAGGCTTGTACTGAGGGTTATTTGAGCATTTAAGCACGTTAATGATAAATTGCGCTCAATCCGGAAGGGTCAGCTGATTTGCGCTCAATTCGGAAGGGTCTTGGGAGAAGACTGATCCGGCAAGCAGTACAAGGAGCATCAAGAAGGGGCTCAACGACAACAACAATCGACTGTTGGGTATCGTTAACAAGTTTTGTATCCCTTTTGGTAGAAAAAGTAAGATAGTAATCTGTGGGGGGCTCGACAGTGCTGCACTGTAGTGAATTTTCACCGAACTGCGAATATCCGAGTTAAGCACCTTAATTCGGATACTAAACAAACCCGGAGGGGTATAGTATTACTAAGATTATTACTTATATAGCCTATATTAATACTCTTATACCGTTTTTCAGTGAAAAACACAGAAAGCAGACCGGTTTTTAGGGTCAAAATAGCGATATTTTGATCCCCCCACAAGTCGCGATTTTTGAGATATCGATACTTTTTGAAACAAAAAAAAGCGCTAAGCTAGTGTGTTACATCGTAACTGCACTACTATAATAGATAGAACCGGTTAAGTTTAGTTCAGAAGTGGTTGGAACTATTTTGTTACCGAAAACCGAATTTTCGCGATTTTTGATAGTACGAAACACTATAAAATCAGGAAATTTTTGAGTTAGAACAGTAAAAATAGTTGTTCGGACAACTTCCACTAGTGAATCTACAAGTTTTAAAACCCGCTACCCGAAAGCCTTCCGGGTTGCGGAGAAATCGAACTTAACGTGTTTGATTTGGTGGATTCATCAATCCGGAGGGGTACAGGTAGCATAGTTTTTCGCAAATTTTTTCAACTAAAGCGTTTTAGATCGGGTCTTTTGCATTGAACTAGAAAAGTATAGGCTTTTTGAGCTCGGATCAATAATTTTTAGGTCGAAAGGACCAGATTTGCGGAAAAAGTTAGGCGGAACCTATAAGAGAGAATTTTTTGACTTCAGAAAAAAGACGTTTTTGTTAATAACTTTGGAACTACTGGGCATATCCAGTTGAGCTTGGTACCAATAGATCAGAAATTAGCTGAGCTTATTGATAGGCACAAAAGTTTTTCGGAAAAATAAGCGTGAAAATTTTTTGAGATTTTTTTTAGCAAATTCACCAATTTGGGAGGGTAGACCCTTCACGTTTTATAAATTTCTTTCAGAAAAGCCCTTATACCCCTACCAAAAGGTAATAGCGGTTGAATAAAGTAATTTTAGGCTGTTCTAGATGAAAAGGGAAGGCTAAAGGCACAGCAAAACCTTAATCGAGCCGAAGTTAGGCGAGCGATAAGACCCTTCACCGTTAGCGTGAATCGTCAAATAAGAGGCTTAACTTCAATCCGGAAGGGTCTAAGAAAAGCATTACCTACCCTTCCTAGTTAATCTAAAAAGCAAAATAGCATCAAAAAACGTATCCGGAGGGGTATAGGTTGAAAGAAGGAGATCTCCGAAAAGCTACTTTTACAAAACCGGAGGTCTCCCAATCCGGA